TATTGATACCACTTTGGACAGAACATTTCACGTTACCCATCCAGATGAGCCTCTGACCAGAAAAGACTTTTTCTTTATAGATGTGAGTAGTAATCTCCAGAAAAACCACATGTGGTTCTCTATTTTTGCTAGTGTTGTTGCTAAAACATTCAATAGGCTCCAGAGATTGTCCTGTTGTTTAGCAATGTTGCTAAGCTCTCTTCTTTGTAACATTATGTTCTTTAATCTAAATAGACAAGAACAAACTGAGTCAAGAGAGAGGAGGTACATGAGATCAATGATGATAGGAATTGAAAGTGTCTTAATTACAATCCCTGTGCAATTATTAATAACTTTTTTGTTCACCTATTCCCAGAGGAAACCTCAAGCGGATCTAAAGGAGGTATCTCCTCAAAAGCATCCTCTAATGTCAGAAGCAAGTGAGCACTGGGAAGAATGCTTAACAAAATGGCATGCTTATGAAACTGCTAAGGCACACCCCAGGGAGGTTGCAAAACCTGCATCTAAAGGAAAGCCCAGGCTTCCAAAGGCTTCTCCTAAGGCAACCTCCAAACCCAAGCACAGGCATAGGAAAGCACAAATCAAGACCCCAGAGACCCCCAGGCCAAATACAAATTCCAATAACAACATAGAAGACAATCAGGATGTCCACTCCGAAGAGCATCCTTCCCAACAGGTTCTCCAGCAGCTTAAGAAAAAACCCCGGATCGTCCTGCCTTGGTGGTGTGTTTATGTTGCATGGTTTTTGGTTTTTGCTACTTCTAGCATATCCTCATTCTTCATCGTATTTTATGGACTGACTTACGGCTATGACAAGTCAATGGAATGGCTCTTTGCATCTTTTTGTTCATTCTGTCAGTCAGTTTTTCTGGTGCAGCCATCTAAAATTATACTCTTGTCAGGCTTCAGAACAAATAAACTCAAGTATTGCAAAAACCTTTCGTGGTCAACCAAGTATAAATATACTGAGATCAGGCTGGATGGAATGAGAATGCATCCAGAAGAAATGCAGAGGATACATGACCAGATTGTCCGAATCCGAGGCACGAGGATGTACCAACCCCTTACAGAAGATGAAATCAGAATATTCAAAAGAAAGAAGAGGATCAAGAGAAGAGCACTCCTGTTTCTGAGTTACATTCTAACTCACTTTATCTTTCTAGCCCTTCTGTTGATCCTTATCGTCCTACTACGTCACACTGACAGCTTTTACTATAACCAGTTTATTCGTGATCGGTTCTCTATGGATCTTGCTAATGTGACTAAGCTAGAAGACATCTATAGATGGCTAAACAGCGTGCTGTTGCCTTTGTTACACAATGACCTGAATCCAACATTTCTTCCTGAAAGCTCATCTAAAATCCTTGGCCTTCCATTGATGAGGCAAGTGAGAGCAAAATCTAGTGAAAAAATGTGTCTACCTGCCGAAAAGTTTGTGCAAAACAGCATCAGAAGAGAAATTCATTGTCATCCCAAATATGGCATTGACCCAGAAGACACAAAAAACTATTCTGGCTTTTGGAATGAAGTTGATAAGCAGGCTATAGATGAGAGTACCAATGGATTTACTTATAAGCCTCAAGGAAAGCAATGGTTGTATTATTCCTATGGACTACTACACACCTATGGATCTGGAGGATATGCACTCTATTTTTTTCCAAAACAGCAGCAGTTTAATTCCACACTGAGACTCAAAGAACTTCAAGAAAGCAATTGGCTGGATGAGAAGACATGGGCTGTGGTTTTGGAATTAACGACTTTTAATCCAGATGTAAATCTGTTCTGTAGCATTTCAGTCATATTTGAGGTCTCTCAGTTAGGAGTTGTCAACACAAGCATATCTCTGCACTCTTTTTCACTTGCTGATTTTGACAGAAAAACTTCAGCAGAAATCTACTTGTATGTGGCCATTCTCATTTTTTTCTTAGCCTACGTTGTGGATGAGGGTTATATCATTATGCAAGAAAGAGCCTCCTATGTGAGAAGTGTGTATAATTTGCTCAACTTTGCTTTAAAATGCATATTTACTGTGTTGATTGTGCTCTTTCTCAGGAAACATTTCCTGGCCACTGGCATAATTCAGTTTTACTTGTCGAACCCTGAAGACTTCATTCCCTTTCATGCAGTTTCTCAGGTAGATCACATCATGAGGATAATTTTGGGTTTCCTGTTATTTCTGACAATTTTGAAGACCCTCAGGTATTCCAGATTCTTCTACGATGTGCGCCTGGCTCAGAGGGCCATCCAGGCTGCCCTCCCTGGCATCTGCCACATGGCATTTGTTGTGTCTGTGTATTTCTTTGTATATATGGCTTTTGGTTACCTGGTGTTTGGTCAGCATGAATGGAACTACAGTAACTTGGTTCATTCCACTCAGACAGTATTTTCCTATTGTGTCTCAGCTTTCCAGAACACTGAATTTTCCAATAACAGGATTCTGGGGGTCCTGTTCCTCTCATCTTTCATGCTGGTGATGATCTGTGTCTTGATCAACTTATTTCAGGCTGTAATTCTGTCTGCATACGAGGAAATGAAGCAGCCTGTGTATGAAGAGCCATCAGATGAAGTGGAAGCAATGACCTATTTGTGCCGTAAGCTGAGAACCATGTTCAGCTTTCTGACCTCACAATCTAAGGCCAAAGATGAGCCTGAGTTCTTTACTGACATGCTGTATGGGCAGCCAGAGAAGAACAGCCGCCGTTATCTGGGGCTGAAGACCAGAAACATCAACGGGAAGAAAATGGTTTACCTTGTTGTTTGATAGACGATGGTTTCATGAGTCACAAGCAAGTGTTTCCCCAAATGCTGAGTCTGTGGGATTAAGGGAATTAGGGAGTGTCAGTGGCTTAGTCATTCTTTCTATTCATGTCCTTCACAAGGCACATCCCCTACATTTGGAAGAATCCCCAATCTTGGCCTCTGCTCTTGGGAATGTAAAAGTTGGTGTGGTGTAGCATCTGGGGAGACAGCAGGATCACAGTGTGCGATTCCTGGACTGATTTCCTTTTAGAGGGGAGTTATGTGACTCCCTGTACAAGGGCAACCCTGTTTCTTTGGTGCCTGCAATTTAGCGAAGGCAGAGCCACTGGTTTTGAGAACCAGATTTGAGAGAGGGACCTGGCCAGGGTGGAGCATTGTCTGGGTGTTTCTGTGCTTGACCCACGTTGGAAGCCGATGGCCTGTTGCTCCTGACAGAGCCCCAAACTCCTTGGCCTTGCTGCGAGCCCCCTTTGTAGATCAGGGCTGCCGAGCCTCCCCTCCTCTTGGTCCATCTGGGCTTAGGGCCTCATGGGGAGTTCCAGGGCTTGCTTCATGCTTGGGAATGCAGAAGTGGTGCTTCTCATTTATTCTTAAAGCTACTGGTAGTTAAAGTAAAATTCAGTAACATTTTCTGACCAAGACACATGTTTTGTTAAACAACAAAAAGGTGTATATGGGTTCACATTGAAATATGTCTATATGTTGAATATAGCAACATATGCATCTAGGATTTGGGCATTTGGTTATTTATGGTGTGCCAGACTATTTAGGAATAAGGAAAATGTGGTTTATCACTTCAGGGAAACAAGGGCCGGTAGCTGTACTATTTTCACTCAGAAGCATGTTCATTTATGTAGATGCCACTAGGCTTTATCAGAATTAAATGTGAGATTTCTTCTTTGAGCCTTGCAGTGATTTCTGTGCGAGGGGCATATACACATATAGCTCCTGCCCTCAAAGTGGAGGCCTAGAAAAGGGGGACAACCAAATGAGATGGGTGGCTGCTTTGTACCCACTTCGGTGTCCCTGTCATCTTCAGCTGCACTGAAATAGCCATACCACACTAGGCCCCCGCAGACACACATAGACTCCTTTCGTCGTTTCCTTCGAGGGGACGCCTAGACCTGGGCAGAATGTAGTTCTGTCTCACTTGTTGCCAGGTGGGAAGATGAAAAGGTCTCATGATTCACCCAAGGCCTCACACAGTTAGCAAGGGTCAGAAGGTCACATGGGGGCTGGGCGCAGTGGCTCACACCTGTAATCCCAGCACTTTGGGAGGCTGAGGTGGGTGGATCACTTGAGGTCAGGAGTTCAAGACCAGCCTGGCCAACATGGCGAAACCCTGTATCTACTAAAAATACAAATATTAGCCGGGTATGGTGGTGGGCACCTGTAGTCCCAGGTACTCAAGAGACTGAGGTAGGAGAATCACCTGAACCCAGGAGACAGAGGTTGCAGTGAGCCGAGATCTCGCCACTGCACTCCAGACTGGGCAACAGGGCGAGACTCTATCTCAAAACAAACAACAAAAAAGGAGGTCAGATGGGGATTTTCTAACTTCCCTGTGGGAAGGCCATGGGAGTGGCCTGGCCCACACTGGCCCACTGCTTCCGACTGGGGCACATGTTCTTGAGATAGTGCCTCTCTTAACCACCTGACTTCTGAATGGATTGAGAAAAAGGGTCAGCAGGTGTCCACATGATTACTTTTTACTGATAGAGGCTGGTTGCAGTCGGGTCAAATGCACTTGCCCACTGAACTACAGAATGAGGGAGCTCGAGACCCAGTTTTTTCTGGGTTTAAAGTTTAAAGTTTTTTCTAATTGTAATAACTGGACAGCTCAAATACAAAATTAACTGTTTTCTGCCAAAGACCACGATTTGCTCTTTGAATGCTGCCCACTATTTCACTTAACTCTTCTAATGCATCTAATGTTAACCTGTCTAACATAAGTCAAATTGCTTTAACGGCACTTATGGGGTAGTTACCATCATTGTATCTGAGGGTAGTCACAGGTCAAATTCAAAATGCTTCAAGATGTTCCTAGAAACCAAAACAAAAACAACCTAGTATGTCACCTTTGAAACGATCCAACGAATCGAATGCCATTGCACTAAGCACAGTGGAGGTCATCGAAATCCAGCTGCTTGCTAATTGCTTGCTAATTCCTGGGGCCCCTCTTGCCCAGGTCTAAGAGTGGTTCTGGTTTCCATTACTGCTAAAATGCCTTCTACATCCTTACTTCGCAATTCGCCAAAGGAGCAAGTCCCAGACCCCAGCCTGCTGCAACTTGGCAGCGTTCCTACAAATGTGTCTTGACAAGCCAAGAATAAATTCTGGTCTCTCAGGAACAGAGACGAAGCACCCCTCGACATAGGGAAAGGTCACAGAGGGCCCTGTAACGCAACAGCATGTGAAAGGCTGCGGGCTGCCGGCACAGGCAGACCTCCCGCGTGGAGCAAAACCCTCAAATCTTTGGGGGAAGGAGGGCGGCCACCCTGTCATCCCCAAAGCACAAGTGAAGGCCCGCTGCAGCTGGGGCGAGGGACTCCAGCTGGGAGGACTGGGGCTCACAGGCAAAGCCAGCCCGGTTTCAGAGTCCGGGCCCCTGGCCCCAGGGAAAGGTGCCTCTCACACACCGGAGGCTCCAGGAGTAGGGCGGGCATTTTGGGTCTAGGGCACGGTGTGTCAGAGGCCACGGGCGGGAACAGAGGCAAGCAGGTGTGCCTGGTGCCTGGTGCCTGGGGGCGAGGGGCAGCAGAGAGGCCCGGGAGGCTAAAGGAGAACGCGGCGCAGACCCGAGGGGCGCCGCAGGCCACGTGGGCTTTGGAGGAGCAAGGATAGGTCCTGAGACCCCGGTTTGGCCGACACATCCCCTCCTGCGTACGGGGGCAGACGTCCCGTGGGATAGACGGGCAGCCTAGCCCGCAGCGCCGGAGAGCGGGTGGGAGACTGGAGGCGCCCTCGCGCCCCTCAGCTATCCCGGGGCCTCGCGCCGGCGACCTCGACCCTGTCGAACCCGGTGGAACACTCAGAAAGAAGCTGAGCGCCTCGCAGCGGCCAGGACAGCAGGCCAGGCCTGCGCGCTCCCGCAGCGCACGGCCAGACGCGATGGCCCTCAGCACGGAGCCCAGCCCCGCAGACGGCCTCGAAGCTTAGAGCCAGAAACAGCGCAGGGGACCGCCCTACCAGAAAAGCAAGGCGGAGGCGGAAAACCACCTCGAGGTCCTGCCTGCCGCTCCGCGCCTGCGTCTGCGTCTACGACTGCACCGGGGTTGGTCGGGCCGCCGTGGGGTGGGGCCGCGCAGGCGCGTTGGACGCGAAGCCGTGCGGCGCTGGCGGTGGTGAGTTCCAGGAGGCGGCCTGGCGGGGGCGAGCGCGCTGTGGGTCGGCCCTGCGCTGTTTCAGGGCGCCTCCCGCTCGCCGGGACTGAGTTCCGCGCCGGCGTGGCCTGCTGGGTTCTAAGCGCCAGGGGTCGGCTCTGCAGCTCTTAGCTTTGGGGACGGCACCGAGGAGCGGGGTGTGGGCCTCGCGGAACTGTCCCCCCTGACCTCAGGCAGCGCTGGGGCGAGAGAGGGCACGCGGAGGCTCGCGGGGACCAGCAGCAACCCCCGGACCAACTCAGCCGTCCCTGCTCACAGGCGCCGCCCCCAGGAGCCTCGGCCGGGGCTTAGGACGCCCCGGTGTGCAGAAGAGAAGCGGGATCAGGTTCACGCACACCCGCGACGGGATCGTAACTTTTGTTTTCTTTTGTTTTGAGACAGAGTCTCACTCTGTCGCCCGGGCTGGAATGCAGTGGCGCGATCTCGGCTCACCGCAGCCGAGAAGGAGTTTCGCTCTGTAGTCCAGCTGGAGTTCAGTGGCACAATCTCTGCTCACTGTAACTTCCGCCTCCTGGGTTCAGGTGATACCCCTGCCTCAGCTTCCTAAGTAGCTGGGATTGCAGGCGCCCACCACTATGCTCGGCTAATTTTTGTACTTCTAGTAGAGATGGGGTTTCACCATTCTGGCCAGGTTGATCTCGAACTCCTGACCTTAGGTAATCCGCCCGCCTCTGCCTCCCAGAGTGCTGGGATTACAGGCATGAGCAACCGCGCCTGGGAAGATTGTAACTTTTTTTTTTTTTTTTTTTTTTGAGACGGAGTCTCGCTCTGTCGCCCAGGCTGGAGTGCAGTGGCCAGATCTCAGCTCACTGCAAGCTCCGCCTCCCGGGTTCCCGCCATTCTCCTGCCTCAGCCTCCCGAGTAGCTGGGACCACAGGCGCCGCCACCTCGCCCGGCTAATTTTTTGTGTTTTTAGTAGAGACGGGGTTTCGCCGCGTTAGCCAGGATGGTCTCGATCTCCTGACCTTGTGATCCGCCCGTCTCGGCCTCCCAAAGTGCTGGGATTACAGGCTTGAGCCACCGCGCCCGGCCGAAGATTGTAACTTTTAAAGTCATTGGCAACCCATGCTTCCTGGAGTTGCATCTGGGGTCACCCAGCGGAGAATCCCATCGCATTTGATATGCCTTTATACACCACGCTCAGTTCAGGCGAGGGGAGTTCACAGCCAAGAGCTAGGGGCCAGCTGATAATGTCCTACTTGATTCCATAGTCAAGGAACTGGGTAATCAGCAAAATCGTAACTTTTGATGAACCCATCAGATGGCAGCCATTTAGCCAGAAATCTAAGGAAAGAGAGGCCTCCAAGACCCAACCATGAACATGAGAAGGGGGTTCCATACAAGCAGATAAGAAAACAGTTTTAATGAAATGCTGTATACCACGTGTGGACTAGTGTGAGGGCATAGAGCAGCTGGGAGCAGCAGAAACAGGAGAGTTTGCACCCACTCTGGCCTCTTCTCCACCAGCACTCACTGGGGGCTTGTGGTTAAGAATGGGGCAGAGCGGGAGACTAGAAAGCTTTTACTGTGGTGCAGACCTGGAGGAAGAGATGGCTGCTCTGGCTGGATGCTGTCTGGATCCTTCTCTCTAGTACAAAAACCTTAAACCACTGGAATATGGACAGCAAATCCTGTCACTCTGGGCACCGGTGAAAACCTGTTTCAGCTGGGTATAGAGAGAAGGGTACGGTGGGGAGGCAGGAAACTCCTAGGACTATATCATTAGGGTCTTCATAGCTGGGAAAGGTGCAGGATTTCTGAGAAAGCCTGTGACCCAGGGACAACCCATCTCTTGATCTTGCAGATGGCGTCCCATGCAGAGTGCCGGCCTCTGGGAGTGTTTGAGTGTGAACTCTGTGCCTTGACAGCTCCGTACAGCTATGTGGGACAGAAGCCCCCCAACACGCAGTCGATGGTGTGAGTCCATGCCTTTTGGGCCAGAGCCCGGGAGGCCTGTGCCCAGTGCTGGTTGGTGGGTGCTACGCCTAGGTCTGACAACTGGCTCGGGTGTGGAGCTTTAGGCCCCAGCCTGGCCAGGCTCTGGATGCTTCCGGTGTAATCTCTGGAGGCCTGGGCAAGGCTTGGGGTCTGACTCTTCCAGAACCTTCCTCCACACCCTCGCCCAGAGTCCAACACCTGCTCTAGCTGTGGGGGAGCAGCTCAGCAGCTGGGGGACCTATGGTGGCCTCCCACTTTGGGGCTGCGCCCTTGCCGTGACACTGTAATGGGAGGCGTTTCTCCCTTGCAGACTGGACTAGAGCCAGTGGGTCCAGGGGCTTATCTCTTGACCTCCAGCTTGTCCTTCATCAAATGCCACTTTGTTGGAAAGTCGGCCAGTGTGTTACTCACATGGGATGCAGTGGGGCGGCGGGGAGCATGGCTTTTTCCTTCTGGCTGTGGTCCCTCTGCTGACCAGGAGCCTGAGTGTCATCATGTCACCCTGTGGTCTCATTGTGATGTGTAGCGTGAGGCCAGCTGGCTGCCAGCGGCTGTGAGGGTGTGGCTTGGGGGTAGGGAGGCCTGGGGTATTCAGATGGCGGCCTTGTGCCCGCACCCCAGTGAACCAGTCAGGGTCTGGGGACCCACGTTGCAGCAGCCCTGCTTTTGGCTGAAAACAAGGGGTTCTCTCTACCATAGCTGTTACAGAGGTGAGAGCAGGTTCAATTTCAATGCCAGTGTGGCCCCCAATTGCTGATCCTTTCTGTCACTGCCCTGCAGCACGGGTGGCCTAGTCTCCTGCCCTGATGAGCCCACGCAGGTGTACAGGCCCTGCGGAGGTCCAGGCGGCTGCTGCCCGGCCATAGCTCATGGCTGATTTTCCGACAGCAGAGATTTGGGTTGTTCTGACGCTCTCATCACTCTCCTGCAGCCTCCTGGAGGAAAGCTATGTCATGAAGGATCCCTTCACCTCCCACAAGGACAGATTCGTGGTCCTCGGCTCGCGCTGCAGTTTGTGCAGCAGGCTGGTGTGTGTGGGCCCGGTAGGTAAGCAGCGTGGGCTGGGGCCGCCTGTCCTTGCTGTGGTTATCCTGGAGCTCTCACTGGGTAGGGAGGACTGAGAGGGAGGGACCAGCTGGTTCACCCCATTATAGATGGGGCCCCCCAGCTGATGAAAGGGAGAGGTGAGAGGGCAAGCTAGGGTCAGTTAGAGGGTTTCAGCCTGGTGTAGGAATGGAAGTTGGTTCTTGGTGGCTCTGCACCCACCCCAGTGGCCCCTCAGGGTTCCTCTCCTTCCCACCAACCGTGCAGACAGTCCTTGTGCTCCCTCTCACCAGGATGGTGACTTACTTTCTAGATGTTCTTGGAGGGATCTCCCAGGAGAAGGGACTGTCCTTTCTTGAGCACTTGTTGTGTGCCAGGTCCTGTGCTTGGGACCTGTTTTCCTGCGGAGGCTTCATTCAGTCCTGCCCCTAACTTAGTTAGGTAAAGCAGTATTATATTCCACCCATTTTATAGATGAGGGAACTGAGCTTCAGAGAGGCTGGGTGGGCCAGGTTCACCTGGGTAGCTGAAAACCCAAGGACGGATGGAAGTGGAGCAGTGTGGCTTTTCCAGTGTGACCAGTGTACTCAGAGTGACCCTGGAGTCTGAGAAGTCCCTGAGCATCTGCCACAGGGCGACACGCACAAAGGGGAGCTGTATCAACAGCCAGGGGGACGAGATGGGCCAGGGTGGGAGGAACCTCCGCAGTGTGGCATGGGAGTATCTGAGGCTTATGGAGGAGCTGGCAGTCCAGGAGAAGCTGGGAAAGGAAGACTGCAGAGGTGTGTGGGCCAGGTGAGGAGGTGGAGGTCTTGAATGCAACACCTTGGCCTTGGGCTGCTCTTCGTGAGCAGCGGGGTGGCGGGGTGGGGGGCCCACGCAGGTACCACGAGTCTGCAGCTTTCTTTGTTAAAACAGTAAGTTGTTAGTGAGCGATCTGCATGGCAAAGGGTCTTTTCTAAGAACTGCAGGAGGGCAGCCTTATGTTTGCGAGCACACTAAGCTTTAAGAACAGACAGACACCAAAAATAAGAGTGGCCTAAGTAAAGCAAATAGTTATTTACTCATTTTCTCCCTTATAATGGTGGCCTTGGCTGGAAGGGCACCCCTGTTGTCTTCAGCAGAGTCTCCATTTGGGTCCCTTTTGGCTGTGGCAGCTCCCACCATTGTATCTGCATCCCAGGCAGCAGGAAGAGATGTGAGAGCACAGTCCATTCCTTCAAAGGGCATGAGCAGGAGGTGGCACACACAGTTGCTGACACCCCGAGCAGCCTGACTCACATGCCCAGTTACAGAGGGGGCTGGGGAATGTCATCCTTAGCCGTGTGCTGTGCACCGTGATGAATCTCGGGAGTTCTAGTGTGTAAGAGAGAGGAGAGGACATGGCTGGACAGTTCTGGCCTCCTGCCCAGACTAGCTGGTTCGTCCATGGCCTCTTTGGTCTGTGGGGCTGTCCTTCCTGTCCCTTGCCGCTCCCAGCACCAGGTGTCCACTGTTCCTGCTGTGATAGCTGGGAGGGGAGGACTCTGGGATTTTCTGGGCATGGCCTGTGCTCCAGCTTTCCATTATTATCGCTGCCCCGTGATGGAGCAGAGCATGCCCCAGAGCCTTTCTGTCTCATCGCAGCTGTTCCCACCCAGGGTAGCCCAGGCCTGCATTGCTTTTCTCCTGGATACCCTGCCAGGCCCTCAGGCCTGGCTCTCCCTCTTGCTGGTCTAGCTCTGGCCACCTGTCCACACTGTGCATGCTGGAGCCCTAGCCCAGCTCCTCAAGTGTGGTAAGGGCTGGACCCTGGGAGGAGCTGCACCGTGTTCCCAGGATACTCAGTCTCCATCCTTGTCCCCTTTCAGGAGTGCAGCTTATTCTACTCCAAGAGATTCTGCCTCCCTTGTGTCCAGGAGAACATCAGTGCTTTTCCTCAGGAAATTCGGCAAGACTTGGAGAAAAGGAAAGCTCCATCAAAGAGGACCCCCAGCCAGCCCGGTTCTCGGATGTGAGTGCAGCCAGGGCTGGGTCATCGGGCAGCACCCTGCACAGAGCTCCTGGGCCAGCCTGCGCCGGGGATGCTGCCGAGCTGGGAGCTGCCATGCCTGGCCTTGTTTCTGGACCACTGGGAGCAGCACTGCAGCCCAGGGGAGCTGGAGTCCAGTTTGGAGCAGCCACAGGCCCAGGGAGCTGTAGCAAGAGGGTAGCCCAAAGGCAGATGCCAGACAAGACACAGCCAGGAACCTGGCCAGGTGTCCCCACATGCCCCTCAGGGCCCAGGCCTGAATGAGTGCTGCTCAGATGTGACTGAGAGGGATGACCTCCTTCAGTGGGGCAGCTCCTAAGAGGCCACGTGCAGGTGCATGTCAGGGGAGATGCCACACTGTATCGTGGCCATGATGCATGGTAGGTGGCTGCAATGGTCTCTCTGTAAGGAAAATCACTGACAGCAGCTGCCTTCTGGAGCCAGTCTGGAAGGTCTAGAGGGGGATAGAATTTTTACTTCATATCCTTATATGATGCTTGGAAAATGTTTTTAACCTTGACCATGTATTATGTTTATAATTAAAAACCCAAATAACCAGCTCATGTATGGAAAGGAATCTTCCACTGAAACATTTGGATACCCGACATTCTCCCTGGGCACTTCACCCGGCAGTGGTTGGGGTCTCCTGGGAAGCTGAGTGCTGGCTTCTAGCCTTTCCAGTTCCCTCAGGCTCTGGCTTCAGCTCTGGCCCCTCCATTCTGTCTTCCCTGACCTCAAGTCAGGAATGCCGTGGGCTTCCTGCCCTCACCCCACACCTCAAGACCATCCCGCTGCCTGCCTGTCTGCTTGCCCCCTGCCATCTCAAACTCAGCCCTGGGTGCCTGTGCAGCCTGACCCCATTGCCTGCCAGGGGTTCCTGCAGCACCCCCTCCTCCAGGCTCCCCATCTCCTTGAAGCTTCCAGGGTAGCAGCTGGTGGGACATTGATCTGTGAGCTCTGGAATGTCTGCTTAGAGTTCGGAGAGGCAGGAGCTGCTCTGTCTTTGTAACTACTCAAGGCCAACTTCACATGAAGGAATGAATAAAGAGTTTTTACTGACTTGTACACTGATGGATTTTAAGATGCCCACTGCTTTAAAAGTTCCTGTTGTATGTGACTTCAGACAAAAGGATGTCGTGTTCTGGAGCCACATCGTACTCGATCCATTCTGTACGCTGACGGACACAAAACGGATTCTGCAGGTGGAGACAGCCTCCATGAGGGGCGCAGGGACTGTTCTGGCGGAGGGCGGACCCCACAGCTGAGGACTTGGTTCTTTTAGACCAAACAGTCCTTCTCGCAGCATCACTCAAAACTCACCAAAAAATTTTAAAAAATAGTTTATTTTTCAAAACCATTAAGGCAAAACTGTACCCTGAAATTAACTCTGTACATTCATCAGTCTTACAGTAGGACATCCCAAACACAGAAGTTCCCATATATTCAGGATATAAATCAATACCTGTGGTCAGTTCAGTCTCCTAATAGGAAAATGAAGACCCAAAATTAAGGTTATTTTATAGCCATTTTCTAATTGCCTGGAACCAATCAGTTCACGTGACTAGAAAAATTACTTTCACCCTTCTCTGCACACCCTTGATTCCAGAGGTCCTGGATGCCCGCTCCCCCCACCAGGAGAGAGGTATGAAGTTGGAGAGAGGATGCTGGGGCCTGTGTGGCAGTTCCTACTTTGGAACTGCACCTGTTTAGCACAAATAAGAAGCTGTAAGCCCCAAAATACTGAGAGTATAAGGCACTCACTAATAGAGCACACATGGAGAGACTGGGCCCAGTCCTTGCTCTGGGGTCTGCTCCATTGTCGCGTGTGTGTCTGTCAGCCCTCTCCCCTAGGGTTTTAGCCTAATGGCATTATGGATCCCAGAGGGTGCAACCAATATGTACCGAGAAGTTTTGCCAAGGTATTGGAAACAGGGTATGGGGAGACTCACGGGGTCTGGGGAGACTCACGGGGTCTGTGGTTTCTGCTTTATGCTTTGGGTTGGGCCACCTGGAGGATGCCAGAGAACTGGCACGTGCAAAGAATTTCCAACAGGACATTTCCAATTGCCAAAGTTCTTTGGTAATAACCCATAGGTAACGGTTCCCTGAAGAGCAGACAGCTATTTACTAAACAGGAACAGTGAAGGGTCTTTAGCGAAACACTGTTGTATGAACTCGGCCTCTAACCTGGAGTCTAAGGCCTCGCTGGTGGAAGTTTCTAAAGATAGCCTCTCTTGTGCTCTGTGCATATACAGCGTGGTAATGGGAAGAGATTTCCACATTCAAAGTAAATTCTGCGTGGCTCAAGAGAAATGAAAACGTGTGTACGTGTGCATACACACGTGTGCATAGTGTATTTTAGTTGTTTGATTTCAGCTTCCTTTGTGTTTCCAATAGGGTCAAGAGCCAGGCTTTAAGAATATGAGTCAACACTGATTTCAGAAGAATCCAAATATTTGTTATTAGATGAATGATTGTAAGTTAGTAAAATATTTGTATTAGGATATTTTTTAAAAACTCAAATCACAGTATTTAAGATATAGCTATTAACATAGTTCTTTTTACCACACAATGTAGAAAAAATAGTGATATTTAACATGAACACTGTAATCTTACCAAAAAGAGTACTACATAGTCTTCATCTTTTGTGAGGTACATGAAAAAGGAACTGACTGTGCCTTAAAAAAAGTGAAGTTGCCAAAAGTGAGTGATTTTACTGTGAAACGATCGGCCAGTTGCTCCTCTCCAGGGCCTGAAGGCTGACCCTCTCTGACTTGAGGCACAGCCAAGGCCTGGGGGTCCAGGGAAGGTGCCCGACTATCTCCCAGGCCTGCAGCATGCCCCCCGCACCCGGGTCACCACTTTTCCTAGGAGCCAGGGTGCGTGGGCGGGGGCCTGCTTGTGCGCCAGTTTGCGTGGCACTTTATCCGTTCATTAAACGAATGGATTTTTAATGCTGGATGTGGGCGGAAGAGGGGCAAGAGAAGAGGTGGCAGGTAGACTCCCTTCTTCTCACATTTGACCCAACTAGCAAACTTAAAAAAAAACTGACCCCCTCCCCAGGTTTTAGTTTGCTGTCTATGATGTAAAAATCAATTATTTCTTCTCCTTTTTTTTTTTTTTTGCAAATAATCCATCTAATAGCCATGAGACCACTCATGTACTTGAGGTCATCAGCTGCGAGTCCATCAAGACATGACATTGAACATGGATACGATCTGGTCTGTTGGTCTGTTTTTGTTGGCAAAGGACTCCAAAAGGATGCAGTTGTATGTGTTTCAGCTGAACCACATTCCATAGCTCCTCTCCCCTCACAAAAGGGGTTCTCTGTGGAGAGAAAAGTAACTGATTATACGTCTCATGTCTCAAACTGAAATTCTGAGAAGCAAATGGTCAGTTGATGGCCCCATTCCAGATCTGCAGGGACGTCCTCAGATGTCCAGAGCTGGCAAAGGTGGAGCAGGTAGCAGCCTTGGGCACCAGCCTCTCTCTTTCAGTTCTAATAAGAAGGCCACACACATGGCTTTTTGTGATAAGCTTCCAGCCCATGCCACTGAAATAACGTTTAAGAACCTGCTGCATTTCACAGAAATAGTGTAATGGAAATCATTATGTAATTAAAGCATGAAGCTCATTATCTTTTTCTTTTTAACAAAACCTTCAGTTTCACATTTTAGTGCGTACTGTGGTTTCCAGAGAAATATATGGATCTCCTATATTCTGAGTCAGACCAAATTTATTGCCTTTATTCTTACCCTAGTCTATGGGGTCAAGGACCGTTTTCCTGAATGCTGTCAAAATGGCACTTGAAAATATGTAAATCCCAGCAAAAACCTAGACCTCAACCGTTAGAAGCCAGTCTTAGATCTTTCTAGGCAGAAGGCCTCTCAGAGGAGTACATGCCCTGGGCAAAGGCCATGGACTCGGAAGCAGGAAGTTCACGGGATGATTTAATGGCATCGAGTAATCCTTTGGTGAGATGGCCTTGGTTGCCCTCAGCACAGTGGAGGCAGGTTAATCATTTATTTGCCACAACCCTTCCTTGCTCTGTAAAGCTGCCTCACAGCTGGGTGGTCCTTACAGCCGTTTCTGCCGCAGATATTTGTGGACATTTCACTTCCAGACTGTGATGTCTGAAGGTAGGCTTGAATGACAGCTGCCATCATCCCTGCCATTAGGGAGGTGTGCACAGCCCCCTTTGCTCCATGCAAATATTTGATTGGTAAGAAGTTCCAGTGCAACTGAACAAGTCAGCTTGGACCGAGTTAAGAGAAGCTGGGCCACTTTTAACATGAGAAGAGCGGATACTTCCCCATGCTTGGCAATGCCAGTGCCGTAGAAATGAGCAGTGTTGAGACAAACCTCCTGTGGATGAGAGGTTCCCGTGGACACTTTCTAATAATCATGAGCCCTCAGGTGGTGGCATCAGTCTTCATGGCTGACTTCTATGGACAGCATAATTTCCTTGCCTCTCCTGAATCTATACCACTGTTCTGAACATGAAAGAAGGTCTAAAAAGTAATCCCTTAGGACCCCTGCATCAGGCCAACCATGCTAATTGCAGAGGGCGAGGCTGGCAGTCCAGGAGATGGGAGCTGAGGACAAGGCTGCAGCCCCCTGGGTCACCTGTCCTTGCACTCACCAGGTGTAAGTGTCTCTAAACAACAGGGAGGCTGCAGGAGGTGGAGAAAGTGCACCGTGCCTGGGGCCCAGCGGCTAGCAACGCCCAGCAGGCCCTACATCTGGAGGCTGGTGCTTTCATTTTAAAATGGAGGCTGATTTGCTCTTAACCCTTCAGACAGCTGAGGAGACCACAGGAACCTGCCTTGAAAGCTGCCCAGAGCCATGGCATCCATAGGTGGTGAGCTGTGGGCACCTGGCACGTTCTCCTGGTGGCATCTGCATTTTGAAAGGCTACACTGTTGAAGAGGTACCAGCTGTTGAAGGTAGCCAGCTTTTCCCAGGCCCCAGGAAGCCCCCCACCAAAGGCCAGGCTGTCGGTCAAGCCAGTCTTAGCTGGGTGCATTGGGCTGGCTGGGTTGAAACAATGAATCCATTTTAAAACTGGAGTGAGACATTCCAGAGACAGGTGTGGCCACTGGATCAGGACCAAAAAACCCTCCATCGTGTATACAGCTGGTAAGTATCGAAAGTGCCCAGAGCTACAGTGGTTTGAAAATGGGAGTTCGAGGTGGGAAGTGCTTGGAACCAAACACAGAGAGTCACAGGTGCAAGTTCAGAGGAGACAGACCTTAGGAGGTCACGGTTTCATCGAGGCTTGCTTTGATGCATCTGTTTCCATCCGCATCTGGTAGGGTCTCTCTGAGGAAGCGGCTTCCGCATGGCCGGCAGGAAGAGGTGAAGAGGAGAGGGGGTGCTGGGGGCGGTGGGGGCTGTGTGTCACTGCAGGCCAGGACCATTGGCCGCTTCTCCTAAGCCCAGGATGTGCCCAATGTCAGTTTCACCAAATTGGGGTAGCACCTTTTGCACATATCTTCAAGGCTCCCTTTACACAACCGAAGTTCCTGCCAGATGTCATACGAGATGCTGCTCCCCTGTGTGTGGGCAGGCTCAGGTGTGCGCACTAGAGGAGTCTCCATCCCACCTGCCCTAACTACAGACGCCACAGTGTGTGCACCTCAGCTCTAGCACTCTCGCAGGGCCTGCTGAGGTATTTGTTTCGTGGTCCGTTGCGGGGAAGTGGTGGCTAAGTTGTTGACTTTTCATGGTGTAGCAAATCTCCCATTTGTGCCTTGAGCTCTTGCTCAGCTCTGGGAGGCTGCCCTGTCCCTGTCCCTGGAACCTCCAGACAATGCACGCTCCAGGAAGGCTGTTTCCCTTGGGGTCTTAAATGGCCCAGTGTAAGAAATGCGTCAGCACAGCAGAAAGGTACCTTCTCTGCTCTTCAAATGCAAAACAAAACAAAACAAAACACAGCTCTTTAAAACATGGACAGCTCTCCTGGGTATCCTTGAATGCCGAGTTCTGGGTTTCTGCCCCACTTCACGTCCGTTATGTTTGTATAGCAAACACACCCGTTAGGAAGATGCTTTATACTCTTCTCATCAGAG